TCGCCAAAACTCATTAATCTCTGAGCACCGACAAACTCAAACACCCGACCCTCACGTACAAATTCCCGTCCGGAATGAAGGGCGCTATGTAAGTGCAAATCGCTATATAAGTGCAAGTCGTTGTCGTTGTTGTTGTTGTTGGAAAGGTGTTAATGTGGGAACCATCCTCTGCAGCAGGGAACGTGTACACAGCTCCGATACGACGGTCTAATATTTATACAAAGGCATTTCTGAACACGTACTGCTGTTCGTTCTGCTTTTCTTCTTCGGTGCAATTTAGAGAACTGTTTATTTATTTTTTTTGCAGTCTCTTTTCGGAAGGTGGTATGTTTGCGACCAGGACATCACCTTAGCAGGAGGGAGATACATATATATATGTATATATTATATATATATAGTATATATATATGGCAGCAACATTCGTTTGGCTTTGTTTTACAATTCTAACCTGTGGTGTTTCAATAACCAATGCGCCCTTTGCTGAACGGTTTGACTACGAGGTCTTTGTAAGGCAGCAGCGAGGTCAGTGTTATCTGAGCAACACATACTGATGGAGATTGATGCCGAAAAAGTCCCCAAAGCTCAAGAGCCGGTGCAGTACACCAGTCGAGCCCGAGGATGGACAGTGGACCGTGTTACCTATGACCGCTGACATACACGCGCGACATCGATTTGTCCCATCCCGAGTCAAGTCGAATAAGTCCCCCGTCACTGGACGGTTCATCATGAGTAAATATATCATCATTTGGTTGGGTTCGGTGATGCCCACGGGTGACCATAAATCTCAGCTGCCCAACCCCGACCCCCCCCCCAGAGGAATCCCCTCTCAGAGCGCCCGTAGAGGTCGCTATCCCTAGAATTAGAGGAGTCGAAGTGAAGTGTTGGCACTCTCGTTGGCAACACCTGCGAATTAATTGCCCTCCTGGTCTATCATTCCACCTGAGGATGTGAGCCCAAAGGTGCCCCCCCACCACCACCCCCCCAAAAAGAAAAAATCAGGGCATCGTTTGGGGTTACCAATTGCGACCCCCCCCCCCCCCCAGTTTTTTTGTAAACGCTTTTTTCCCCCCTGGTGGTTCAACGTGTTGAGATGATCATGTCCTGCTCCTGATCGATGATCCCGACCATTCGACAGAGTCGAGCGCTTCCACCCCTCCGAGTTACACCCTCCAAGTCCTCGAGCATTCTGTGTCGATCAGTGTCCCTGAGAATATTGGGAACCGAAACTCGAGTTTCGCTCATACTTTTTTCCTGCATCGTCTGATTAATTCCACCCTGAGTGGAATTACACAGTATTATCCCTGGAACACGGATCGATGTATTACAGTTAGGGGGGGCGGAGGGGGGGAGGGTTGTGTGTGTATTGTGGGGAAAAAAAGTCTATTTGAATAAGGAACGGACTGGGTTACTGAACTCTCAATAACCTACAGGGAGGGATCCGATTTGGGTCGTTATATTGATAATAACGCGATTAGTTGCCCAACGTGTTAGGCCCTTCATTCTTGACAACGCATTTTCAAATCTGTTACAAATGGGAGGGTGGTGGGGGGGTGGAGGTATATATTGGGGGGGGGGGGGGGAAATGTATTGACACATTTACCAAACAGGAGAGGCGACTCCAAACTGCAACTCCAGCACAACGCTTTGAGACGTCTCGGAGACGTATTAAGGCGCTCTATCAAATGCAAGGATTAGTATTATTGTTGTTGTTATTATTACTATTGTTAATAAAGTGGAACAGCCATTCGAAATGAGAGGCCTCCCAACCAACTTTTGGCCCTGTGTAAATATGTCGCCTCTAATGACTATTAATGTGGGAGCAAAACCGGTGTTCTTGTAATTCTATCATCACCAGACGTTCAGCCGCCACAACTCTTTCCTTTCGGTGACTTTAGGGACCAGCTGTTACAATTTTTTAACTGGTTAATGTGTTCGTAACACTGTCCTATCGATGACTTCTGTTTACTTCCCATTCTCCCCTATTCTCTTCGCCTCGTTGCATTCTCGCTCTCACACGCTCTTTCTCTTTGGTATTTTCTCTCCCTCTGTCCCTCTCTCTCTCTCTCTCTCACCCTCTCTTTCTCTCTCTCTTTCGCCCTTCTCTCCATTTGCTTACTCGAGCTGTCTTTGCTCTCTGGCATTTCCCCCCCACCCTGTGTTGTCTTGTTTTCTATCTGCCTTTCTTTCCGACACTCATTCTAACCCTTTGTATCAGAAACACCCAAAGTCTGTTCTCTGCCTCACGTTCCCACTCTCCTCTCCTCCAACTAACTATTCTGCAGAGAGCCTTTTTCCCACGTCCTCTTTCTCTCATCACACACCGATTCTCACGTTTAACCTCCTTGCTCTCTCCCCCCCCCCCCTCTCCTCTTCTCCCCCCCCCCCCTTTCTATTGCACACCCTAATAGCAGAATAGATAATACCTGTTTAAAAGGGAATCAGAGAAATATAATAATAATAATAACCCTGGCATTTGACGTAGCGCCTTATCACGTCTTCTCGACGTCTCAGAGCGCTTCACAGAATAGACTGTCAAGTGAATTGACTGCGTATTTGTGGGCGAAACGCAGACGCCAATTGCGCGCAGCAGCGTCCCCAAACATTTGAAAAGGAAAATTATAAAAGGTCACGGCGAGGAGGCAGGGGGACATGGGACAAAAATGACAGCACTTACAGAAAGACCGGGCAAAACACTAGTGGCCGAATGGGCTCCCTCCCCCTGATCGTGTGAAATTATATTATTATCATAAAATGATCACTGTAACCGCGTATCTCACCCTCACTCTCTCCGCGTTCAGAGATGGGTTTGGAAAGCACTGCAGTGTCCAGGCTCGGTGAATACTTATACACCTGTGAAGTTTTACAAGTTGAAGCTGAACCTCTTTACGAATGCCCCCACGGAGCGAATCGGCTTTCCGAATCACGCGAAGCTTCCATGTTTTAATGAGGTGCATGTATTCATCTATCACCGATTTTCGAGCCTTTTCGCTACAATACTAAACCCAACATTGTCACATAGAGTGGGGAAACACTCTCTATACATTATGCCATATATATATATATATATATCTTTAGTCTACCATGGCAGCTTTTGCGCCCAAAGAGATTTATCATACAGATTTTTAAGGCACTATATTCGGCTTGGGGTTCGTGTTAGTATACTTTTCTTGGGGGTAATTTCAGTCAGTTCTCTAAAGTGCAGTTTAACTGTAACAGCCTAAAACTTCAGCGAGATGGCTATTTGGTTTTGAAGTGAGGGGAACTGCAGACAACTGTATCATTCATCGGTGGGAGCACTTTTAATGTCCTTTCCAGTTAAGGGTTCCAAACTGCGCCTTATCCAGATGGACCTCAGGAAATTTTTTCACTGTGCAAATCTTTCCTTTTGCAAGTTAGGTGCGGCGTAAATGGAGTCGGAAGGGTACGTGTTGATGGACATTTTTGATATCGATTTATGCCAACAGAATCGTATAGTTGTTGGCTGGTTGAATGTCTTTTTTTTTTAGATAGAACGACCTCTTTGAGAAAGGTGGACCATACAGCAGGGAATAGTGCACGGGGGGGGGGGGGGGGGGGGGGGGGGATGAGCAACAATAGTCCAACCGTTGAATTTGTCTGTAAAATGAGGTCCCTGTCGGTAAGCAAAAAAAAATGATACCACTCATTGACCTCTCGGAAATCGTGTTTTTTTAAAAAAAACTTGTTTTCTTCCCTTCCCCAAAAATATTTTTTTTTTTGCAACGATTGGAGTACAGTAATCAAAAAAGAAAAGGGTCTTTTTGTCTTTGCGGACTACCGGAGAGACAGTTGTGCCTTAACGGTCGCAACGATGTTTGATTAAAAAGTAGGATAGAAAGTTTGAATGGATAATTCGAGTTTCAATTGATTTATTTCCTCCCTGCGTTCTGGTTAAATGCAACCAGTTCGATTTTAAAAGTCGATGGTTTGCTTGTAGTTTCTCTGCGTAATTTGACTTAAACGTTAGCACGATGGTATTTTAATCTACTTAAGCCGAGCAGAGGAGGAAAGCACACACATTAATACCAAAGGTATCTCTGCCTGAGCGAAATGTGTGGCGGTATAAACCGAAGGTCATCGTGGCTAACTCGTGCAAATAAGATTCTGATATTTGGAGAGATATTGTTACTCGATTAACTTACAGGATAATGGCGCAAATACATCATTGACTGAGTTGGTTATTCACGAATGAGCAGCACCTGTCGAATATCATATTCGTCTTTTCTCCTGGGTTTGTCTGCCACAATCAATAGAGGGAAGGACGTCTGAAGACTGGCAAAGGGGAGTCAGTCAGCAAACCGTGAGCAGCGGCCACAGGGTGACAGCTACAATATCCACCGCGTTTCCCCACTCATCCAGTGAGTGAGTGAGTGAGTGGCACAGCCTTAAAGTCTCGTCGTCTTTGCAACAGCTCGTTAGTGTTACACTGCCGAAATGTCTCATCAAAGTGGTCAGTCTCTATCAAACAACGAAGGGAAAGTGTGTCTGGTTGTAACAGCAAAGGGGGGGGGGGGGGGGAGGAAGGGAGTGTGTGTGTGTGTGTGGGGGGGGGGGGGGGGTGATTGACTAGGGTTGTAAATCTAAGCATTTTTAGCAGAGTGTTGCCATTCAGAAGGAATGTCTCTCTCTCTCTCTCTCTCACTCTCAGTCACTCACTCTCACTCTCACTCTCTCTCTCTCTGATGTTCTCTGATGCTCCTCACAACTCCGCAAAGTTTGTCAAAACCATTCGTCCCACGTAAAACCCCCCAAAACTGCAACAAATCTCAGCTCAGACGAAGACGATTCCAGATCGATGTTAATACTGATGGCACCGAGGCCAAGGTTCCAGATGTGTGATTTTCACCCAACGGTCTTATATATATATATATAATATATAATATATATATTTTTAAAAAACGCGAAAAATAAGTAGTTAGCACATTCCACATGTTTCAACACGGGTCTTTTCTCTTTTCAGCTAATGTCTTTATTTCTTTTAGGTTGGTAGAAAGAGGCAGTGCAGATAGTCTGACGTTCAACTGGTGTTTTTCAGCACTGTTGGCAGGAAAGGGTGAGATCCTTGAGCGGAAAGTAAGTTTTCGTGTTGCAACTTCTGTGAAACGACTGTTCCCATCAAAACATAAAGCTGATATCAATCACCAGTCGTAACTTGCTTCAAAATAAATTCATTTCAACCGACTCTAAGGCGAGCTGCGTTGCATGATACTACTATTTCGGTCATTCACGTTATCTTGTTGTTATCTTATTGTGTTTCTCATGATCTGGTATTCTTTATTGTCAGACGCCAAGTTAGTGTTGTTGATGTCGGAACCGGCAGCAAACTACATTCTGGGCCAAACAGATAGCTCAGTCTGTTCTGATTCCATCATCTACACTGTTGTCACACAGGTAACGTGTCCTGTGTTAATATTCCACAGCAATATGTTCCATGTTAACGTCCTGCAAATAGTATTTTATAGGTAAGGTCTGATGGACCGTATCATTTTGCTACAAATGAGTATGTGATTATGTTATTATCCTAATATACAGTATATTCTAATGCATAACGCCATATTGAACAATTAAATATCTTACATGTGTTAGGGGAGAACTTCTGAGATCCATCTGCTTATTAATTATTTCCGAATACATCCCCTGAAAGACCCCAGGATGACGGTGTGTGTAAAAAAAAATAAATGAAACAGCGATACCAGAAGTCTTCACCGTGTCGATATAAGATGAGATCATTGAAAAGAGGAGATCAGATGTGTCGAAGGGTTTTCTTCACCCGAACCCCCCCCCCCCCCACCCCCACCCCTCTGGCGACCTTGTGGACAGTCTATAAAACATATACATTTAATGGATATTAAATGGATATTAAATCAGTCACTGGGCCTTATATTATAGGCCAATGCATGGGATTGACTTTGACTGTTTGACGTGGGACTCTGAAACGAAAATATATATTCAGTACTTATGACATTGTTTCGTGTTTGTTTAAGATTTACCACAAAGCAGACTTTTTATTTTTTTTGGGGGGGGGGGGGGGGGGGGTGTGGGGGATTTAGTTTCGATGACGTGTTTTGCTATCGTCTTAATCGCTTCGGATTCTCACGGTAAAGCAGAAAAATCTGCGTCTGTGCAAAGAATTGCCACAAATAAAAGGAAAGCGGACTGATTACATCTATCCTGAACGGCATTGCATTTGTACTCCGGCTCTGATGCTCTATTGGCGTTTGCATATTTATTTATTTGTGTAGGGGAGGGGGGGAGGGTGGGGGCAAAACCCTGTTCCTCTTTTAAACTTATCTTTTTATCCTTTCGAGGCCGAACGTATTTCCTGCAGACAAAAGAGTCGTGAAAAACGTCTAAATACATCTTTTTTTCTAAAAAAAACTTTTCAGGTCACCCAAGGTGATTTATAGTGTCATCACGAAATCCGTGGAGCGCACTTGTTTTTATTGCAGCTTTCGGATTTCCGAAGGCGATCGAGAACGTTGTTAACGACAAGAAAATTCATAATTTACCGACTCGTTTTTTTTTAAAAAAATATATTTTTTTTTCTTCTCTCATCTTAAAAGCATAGGGGGGGGGTTGCAAACCAACCTCGAGAAACGAAACGGTTTGGAGTTTGCTTCTTGGCAGAAAGAGGAGTCAAAGCCCCCAAACACCCCCCACCCCCCAAAAAAAAACAAAGTCAACAAAAACAAAAGACACTTATGTGTGTGTGTGTGTGTAAAAAAAAAATCTTTTTTCTGAAGTGGATCAAAAGGATTTATTTTCTCTCTCTCTCTCTCTCTCTATCTCTTTCTCTCTCTTTCTCTCTCTATCTCTTTCTCTCTCTTTCTCTCTCTCTCTTTCTCTCTCTCATTATATTTTGATTCCGAATAAGCCAAGAAGCCACGCAATTGTCTTTGCCATCGTCTCGTTTTTTTTTTCGCAGAAGAGGGATTACCGCCAGGAAACGGGGGAACAAAAGAGAAGAAGAAGAAGAAAAAAAATGGCAAAGAGTTTTTGGGTTCCAAACTCACGAAAGCCGGAAAAGTTTGGACTTTTTTTTTTGTGTGTGTGTGTGTGTGGACGTTTATTGTGGCGTTCGCACAAAACCTTTCGGCTGCGCTCTCGTGGAGTAACCCCGAGGAGGGAGTGGGGGGGGGGGGGGGGAGTGGGGGTGGGGGGGGGGGTATTTTTTTTCAGACTGATTCCTGGAGTGCCATTGACATCGGCGACTTCCCATATAACGCGACAAAAACACGCACTGTTTCACGCAGCGATTGCATTGGGACACGACCCGAATTTTTACTCACTCCTCTCCATGAAATCGAAAACCCCGTGGGGTGGGATGGGGGGGGGTGGGGGGGGGGTGTGTGTGGGGAGGGGGGGGTTTGCACTTGTCGGTTTCTTTCGTGCAACACGCAACCGAAAATGCATTTAACATTTCGATCCGCTCGATTCCACCTCGTTCGCAGAATTGTTTGCTCGTACCTGGGGTTGAGCCCCTCTTTGTTTCAATCCCCAACGCAATTAAAAGCTGGAAATAAAGTGGGATCGATAGCGACGGCTTCGGGTTTTCAAGGGGAAAGTTATCACTGGGGCTGATCTCTGGAATATATTTACGCACTCGTCTACGAACCCGAATGGTCTGTATGAATGAACATTGCACGACAGAGAGACTAAACATAGCCCTCCCACCTGCACAATGTTTGTAGGCTGTGCCAAGATCCGAAGTACATTGCACGAAGGCGACATTAAGCTGATTTAAAGGGGTTTATATCTCGGATCTGTGAGTAATAGTGGACATTGAGAAGTTTGAACCTCGTCGGGAACCTCTCTGTTATCTGCGTGTTCCCATGCGGGAGGGAGGAATGAAATTATTATTTAAACCAGTGATAATTATCACATTACATACCACATCACCCACCCCCCCCCCTCCCCCCCCCACTCCCCACTCCCCCTACTCCCTCCCATTAGTTCTTTGTTGACAGTTGCTCTATTTAGTCATCAGTTCAGCTTCAAACAACTTATTGCTTCCTTTAATTTTCTGTCTGTTCAAGTCAAACACTTGGGTATAGGGAAAATCCGACAGCGCAGTGGAGACATATATAATACGACATATATATATATACATATATCGGAGACATATATAATACGACACCCAAACCAAACTGGGAGTGACAGGAACTAACCACATACACGTCGCTTTGAGAAGGGAAATCGCGACGTGTAACGAGCTTGAAAACGCAGTGTCACCAACATATCTCTCAAAAAAAAACAACACAAGACATAAAGCGGCACCGTGATTCCCGAATTAATTCCCAAACAGTCCTGCAGATGTGATCCCGAGCTGTTGATGTTTAAATAATTAAGACCGCGCTCAGACGCTTGTATTTAATTGTGGCATCAAATATTTACGGCCAACATCTGTTTGCAACAGCCCCCGTCGACGCTGTTCATCAGCAGACGAGGCTCCTTTATTAATTTGCATTAATCCGGTGAGTTAGCACCGTCCACTTTAAGTACTTTGCTTATGTCTTTATGTCTTTAAGTGTTTATTTCTGGTTTGCAGTTTAGCATTATTGCCGTTGGAGCAGAACAAAAAAAAAACACGGGGTGGGTCCCTCGATTTGCACAGTTGGCGTTCAATGGTCCAATATCTCTCTCTCTCTCTCTCTATATATATATATATATTTTTTTTAAAAAACCAAAGTGCAACCTTTTTTTTCCCACCACACAGTACCACTTTGGGGCACTGTGTTCGGGCGTTTGAGGAACGAGGCATTCGTCTTAACAAAGCAGATGTACTTTTTAAACAGCTCGACGCGTCAGTTAAGTTTCCAACATTATTCCAACAGGACGTTGACGCGCGATTGCGATCACAATTACTGCGCAAAGTATTTTATTTCTTTACGTTTGAGTGGTGATCTATTTGGATCGACTTGTTGAAGGGACCCTTTGTCAGTTATTCTCGACGCGGGACTATAACTGTGTCAAGTGAACGCAATAAAGCACACAGGCCAACGGGATCCATCCCATTAATAAATATATTTTCGTTGCACAAGATAACCTTGGGAGAGAGGAAGAGAGGCAGAGAGAGAGGGAGAGAGAGAATGCAATGCAAACTATTTCTGATCTTTTGAAAGCGAATTTGCCTGAGAGCGAACGAGTCGCCGAATTGGGTGGAATTAACCCGTTTAAGTGTACACACAGAGCAGCGAATAGTGGGTACATCGAGTACCACTGTACACAACTCCCCACCCCTCACATCCTCACTGATGTATTAAAAGTCACGACCGGTTTCTCTGAAAGAAAGTTGCCTTGTGAAGACTCACTGGGTTAAATCTTCTGGGATAAGAGGTGTGTGTGTTGTCAGACTTTTAAAATTTCTGTACAAAACACATCTTTTTTTTCTCTCTGCCACCATTGGATCCACAATCCTCGTGAAACTCAGCCAGAGAGAGAGAGAGAGAGAAGTTAATGTATATACAAAGTAATGGTGATAATTGCAGCTTGCATTACCCTCCCCCCCCCCCCCCCCACACACACACACACACACCCCACCACCACCACCACCTTTGCCATAAAATGCATGCGTTCAGATTGAAAGGAGGGTGTGTGTGTGTGTGGGGTGGTGGTGGGGTGGGGGGGGTTAGAGATAGGTCTGTGTCTGTCTGTCTATGTGTGTGTTTGGGAGGCTCTTAAACTTCTTGATCAAGAAGGCATCATTGGGGTGGGGGCTGGGAGGGGGGGTGGGGGGGGGGTGGGGAGGCTGGTTTTCCGTTGCAAAGAACTGGGTAAAGTGTCAAGCAGAGGTGATGGGAAGTTGCTGGGAAGCAGCTGGGGGGTTGGGTGTTTTGTGGGGGTCTGGTTCAAGCTGCGGTCAGGGAGGCTACTGCCATCTTTTGTTTTCTTTCACAAAAACCTGCTTCCTTCCTGCAGGGGGATGTGCTCTGGTCTCTTTTAGGAGCAGCTTTCACCCCCCCTTCCCCCCCCCACCCCATCCCCCCCCCCATCCCCCCCATCACCTTCCCCACCCACCCCTCCCCGACCATGTCATCAGAGCCCCTCCGGTTGTTATGTTTTCTTTGTGTCACTCCTGTGCCAAAACAGGAAAACAAGAGCTATCACTGCGTCACCGAATCCGAGCGCAATTTCAGGCTTTGCTTTATTTCTAAAATCATTTCCCTTCCCCTTCCCCTTCTTCTTTCTTCTTCTTCTTCTTCTTCTTCTTCTGGTACTTTCAAGTTTGAAAAGGGTGTGTATGTGTGTGTTTTTTTCTTTCTGAACATATATATAGTAAATAGTAAATAATCAGTGTTTTATACACATATATATAATATATAATATATATATATATATTATATATATTTGGCTTAGTCCTCAACTCAACTCTCTGGCAAAACCTCCTTCCCACCAGTGATACA